AATAAACGTAGGTACGTACATATTAAGTATTTTACTATAATATTAAACTAAATGCTTAATTATGGAATTCAATTATTACCAAGCCACAAGTTTTGAATGAAGAGATTATCTTAAACATAAAGTTCAATATGGCTTCAACAATATTTACCAGCTCTACAGCTCTACTTAATTAACAATATCTGTATAATAACGTTATATTTCACGCTTAGTCACATTCGTTTTTCCATTGTAGGTAGATAGATCTGTAACGCGTAATTGTTGTATACAATGTCGGCCTTGCGTATGCGCAGTTTTCATGGTTACCGCGAAGGTTAATCCTTGTAACTACCGATATTTGTGTCAGTTATTAATTAGATGTCTAGTAAGTGGTTGACATGTAGTAAAACAAATTTAGATTACTCTAATTCAGCATAGTACTGGAGACTCGCTCTTGCCTTTAAAAAAGAATAAAATTGCTCTCATTAATTTAGTCTTGACAGCAAAGGTATAGGTTAGCTGAGTGGTAAATTGAACATATTGTGTGATATGTATAATTATATATACTACCATAAAAATAATGTTCAAAACTCACAACAGTGTTAAACGTTTACACCTACTATTGTGTCTCTCTGCATCACCCTAAGGTTGACTGTTAGAGAATGCCACTAGGTATTAAGTCCGCCATTGTATACAATTGCAAGAAGTGTAAATAAATAAATAAATTGTAATTTGTTATTTAATCCTCTTCATTTTGTGATTGAATTTTCCTTAAAAATTTTAAACTCGGCCAGCTTGTTCCGATTAATCGGCCTATTGAATGGAACCATGAGTCCCATAAAACAGTCCTTGAATCACGTAGGTAACGAAAATGACTAATAGTGTCTTACAATAATTATTATTCTACAATAATTAGTCATATATTCTGACAAAATAAATGACAATTATTATGAGTAAAACTCCTGTAAACAAGACTTCAGTGTTGACGTCTGAAATAGGGGAAAATGTTCTGGAAATTATTTTATTTATTAATCATAGGCGATACGTGCGTCCGGCGTTCGGAGATGGTAAGTTTAGCCCCAAACAGCATTGTGTCTATGATTTATTATAGTTGGGCAGAATTCTTGATGGACTTGTGTCCGTCTAAGTCGTAGTTTGTTAAGTATACATGTGCCAAAAGAAAAAAAAATCTCTTTAAACCCAATCAGGAGTTAACTGTGAATATCACAAATGCCCCATTCGTATTGTAGGTGAATATATTGTATTAACTATTTCTAACGAGGATCGACTTAAAATGAATGTTGACACTTAACAAAATTATCGCGTTTATTCATCAATCTCGGCTATAAATAAAGATCACAAATGGCATGTCTGTTTATAGCGATCGTAGCTATAATTTCGCATAGTTATCGTCGTCCATCGTAGTGCGTGCGAGTCGCATGCATGTGTGCAGTTATGCGCGCTGACTTCTAGACCGGAAAACGCTAGAAAGTGGCTTTTCAATTCACGAATAGCTACATAATAAATACGTTTGCGCCGATTCAACGCGCGTTGATGTTAATTCACATTAATGTTCGCTGTGATTGATATCCTTTCAATAAATTTTTGTAGTTATTTTTAATTAAGTTACAACAGAACTACATATGTATTAGTATTTGGTTCGTGGTTTAATGCAATGTCTCTCTTTTCTATGTAAGAAGTCAGCTTTTTAATCAAATCGAAAATAAGAAAACTAGGCAGACAGACATTTGTCCACTCGTTGCAGAGATAAAGACAAATTAAAGATAAAACAACAATATTTGTACAATATTCTACTATTAATGTGAAAAACTGGATACAATAACAACATTTTAAAATCGTTAAAATACCTACGTTTAGTTTATTGAAGGTGTGGTCAGTTAGAGGCGCGGTAAGGCACTGCAATGAAAGGTATTTTACGTTCGTAAAAGAAAAATGCATTTCGGTCGCCTCATGAATAATAATATCGATATCATACGTTTCGCGCGTTTGTCACTCAAATGACAGTTGTAAGCGTTTACGCATTCTTGTCGGCCATTTTATAAATAAAATTGACGTAAATAATCTGACGTCTGTATTCTGCAAATTACATGTATGAAATTTTAATTGTTTGGTTTATTATTGTGTTTATTTATTACCTACTCAGTTGCGCAAAAGTTACTATTAAACATAATTATTAAAATATTTCAAGACAAATAACTAGACAACATTTTGTCCATATATGACAACTTGGAGTAATAAAATAAGCTAGATTTTTGCTTAAATAAAATACGATATCACAAGAAAGGTAGGGAGATGTTCATAGTGTAAAATGTTTCTTATAATCGTCATTAATGTGTACCGACGTATCTCTGTAAGTATTTCGAAATAACTTTAAACTATTTTATCCACAATCAATAAAAATCAAATTTGATTCCAACCAAATAGTTAACAAAATGTTCTTAACTCGGTAAAAATAGGCATCGTAAACTTTGAAAGAAAACAGCCTACTTCAATAACGGTCCAAATAGATCTGTTCCATTATTTAATCAATGGGAGTAGGTACCTATCTATTTCGCAACCAACTCTGGGACTTGTAAGTTTTTTGATTGCGTACCAAAATAAACCTATCGACCGTTTAAAGGGAACTTTTCGGCGACCATCCACGTCTGCAGATGAAGAGAAATATTTATATGATGCCCTAATAAACATCGTGTTACAACACTCGAATGTACTTAATGTAAAAGTATCCGGTACTATTTGCAGAATTATGTAAAAGTGAGTAACTGTTTCGGAGCTGTGTTTTATGTAACTAATTATGAAGAAATTAATTATAAGTAATTAACTCGATGTTTGTTCAAAAACACAATTTGGATTGTGTATTCGGTTTGTAGATGCTGTATAATTTATTTTCTGTAGGTATAATGAGTATTTAATTAATTACGTTATGCGAAAAAAATAAGTAAAGTTTTATATGGGGCATGCAAGCTAAACTGAGAGACCTCCTTGGCAAGTTACCTACTACTAGAGCTAAGAGCTTACATAGAAAATCTTTGCAATTTTTTAATTCAGTTTAAAACACCGTACCTAGAACACACAAGGATAAAGTTCTTATAATGTTCTAGGCACTAACTAAACAAATGAATGAAAGCTGCTTACTCATATGCTACGCATTACTACGCCATCGCACCCGGTTCTACGCTTCAGCAACCAATTTTCCTTGACCTCTCATGGCTCCCTCAGAGCATTTTACGAAGGGCGACATAAGGGAAAACGGAAGGATAAACAGAGGCCATTAGTTTATTTTCAAATGAAGCATAGAGGAGCGCTGGTTCTCGGCCAAGCGGTAGTCGCATCGCGCGGTGGGCCGAACGCACTCGTGTCTGCACTGAGCTTAGAAACTACACCGCGTCACCGAAAGCGTCCATCATTTTGAATTTCGAAGTGCAAGTGAAATAAAAAATAAAATCAACAGTGCGTTCATTATAGCAGCTAGGAGCTTTTAGTTTTATTATTTTTGGTAAGATTTTTTTTCAATTTTTTATTTTATTTAACTGTTCTGATTTTAGCAACGTATGCTTATTTTGCTGAAAACCACTGAAAGTTTAAGGATAACAAAATTAGAATCAAATTGTTTTATGTACAGGTAATTAGTGCATAACTTAATGTTATTAGTTAGTTTAACAAATAAGATTTATAACATTTTAAATAATAGCAAATATTGACATTTACTACAATTACTTGAAACAGGAAATATGTAATTACGATACCATTGTTTTAAATCGTTAAAATATGTATATATTAAGTGATTTTTAATGACTGAAAAAGTTGGAAAACTTTCAAAAGCTTTCATGATATTTTACGTGGCTACATAAAGTAGGTACTGTGGACCTACATACTTATTTATTCTTTTTTTCACTGATTTCAATTGAATATTAAATATATCGATCATTGATATACGCAATCATTATGTAGATCCAAAGCCACATTTGACCATATTATTTAAATACTATTGGTAAACTCTGCACATTACACAGAAAAACTGTCAGACTAGAAAAAGTAATTAAGTACAATATTGTTGAACCTTTCATTGCGTAGATGTACCTTCTCAATCAATTTCTCACACACATATTGATTAGTACATCAAGTCCATTAATGGTCACGAAAGTTATTACATTTCATTCGCTGTCTGCCAGCCAGTAATGTTTGTAAAAAAACAACATTCGTTGGGAAAGCATAACGCGCGGTGCGTTCCGATTCAGTGATCGGCATTCAGCCTGTTTATGATTTATGTATTGTCGTCCACAAGCAACTACTTTTACAATATTTAACAACACGCCTCATTAAGACAACCTAGTATTAATTGAATTAATTACAGTAATATACGATTGTAACCGATTCAAACACGCTACGCTAATGTTTACTTAACACATCACAACGAGATATTCTGCCAGATATGTTAATTGTTCTATATGAATCATTGTTATAATCGCGTTATAAAAAATAAGACTAGTAATCATGCAAGCGGGAGCACAATAACAGTCATTATCGACTAGAATATAGTTACCATTATAATCATGGACGCACATAAAATTGGACACCATAAGTGCCCTGTTAATGGTTCCGCAAGACTTCCTTATGAAATAGAACATAACATTGTTTTATAGTCTCAGGGCCTTTTTAAGAAATCTTTGTCCTGAGGCGGCGACGTTTTGGTACAGCCGGAATATTTTTTACTAACTTCACAATTTGCACAGCAATTTACATCAAATTATTTGTTGCTGTCAAGCTCATTTAAGTATAAACTGAAACTAAGTTATTATTTCAGGCTCAATTGCATAATTCTATTGATGCTGGCTTAAGAAATAATTACAGGTCTGATTGAAATAGAATATAGAAAGTTTTAAATCTACAATTCAATTAATATCACAGCCAATCAAATAATTTGTCATTGTCACGAGCTGGTCAAGGGGAGGCTAATATGGGATACGGTCAATGATCTTTTAATTAAATATGCTTTTTATCAGGTCTCTGAGTACGGAGGTGGCGCTCGAGTAGTGTGGGCGATGTCGGCGGGAGACCGAGAGGCCGAGGCGCAAGCCAAGAAGGGAGATGAGGCTGCGTCGAACGACCGGGACAGCAGGGCCGCGGCCGCGCTGAAGCAGTACTGGTGTGTCGGGCTACGGGCCTTGGAACTGGTGAGTTATGACGGCAACAACTGGTAGATTTAAGTTTTAAAGGAGACCACTAAGAGCCAATAGGTGCCAGGACTAGAACTGACAAGCTTATCTGGCTCTGGACGTAATCTAAAAAAAAGAGACTTAACAGCAGCAACAGATATGAAAAAGACGAAGTCACAAATAAGATGAGAAAGTATGAAAACGACTATCAGCGCAAAGAAAAACTAGAATCACGAATCAGTAGAAAATGTTTTACAAAGAACAAGTCCGTCTAAACAAAACCATTTAATACATTGTATAATTGGAAATCGATTCAACTGGGTGATCGCTAGGCACTCGGCCAGTAATTGCTTGCAATCATGGCGCGTATGGGAACAGCCGTGTTGCGATTCAAGACATGATAATTTGCAGCACGACACACTGCCCTTGAAGTCAAAGGATCCCTTGTGCTCTTGTACTTGTGTTTAATGAATAGTATACTCATCTTTATGTTGCTGTTGTTTGTGTTCCTAGAAAAATAGGTACAATGCAATATGACATGAATAATTTGTTTGTAAAATTATATAGATGCTTTGTAAACGTATCCATTATCCATCCATTATGTCTGCTAATATGTTAGTGTAGCTAACAGACTTATCCTTTTTCCTTTAAAGGGTATGTAGGGCTTCAAAGACTGCGCTTGAAGCCAGGAACGTACCGACTTATAAGGTTGAAGTCCGTGAAACAGCACAAGCAAGTCTTTGTAGACATGCTATAGTGCGAAAAGCTAATAAGTCAAATGGAAACACAGCTTCAACATCTAATGAAGTTACAAATCATATCACGACCTTTGTGGTAAACTAAACGATGCGTGAAAGTGAAAACCTTGTAATAATAATTTACAAAGATACTTGTGGTATTGGAAAATCACTTGTTTGCGGTATTCAAGAATAACTAAAAGGAGAAAACAGGTGTTTGACAATGCAACCACTAGACCGACGTACGGAAGATACTTTCACTCAAATACTTTAGAACGCTTGTTTTAAACGATCTAGCGTTTTTATTGGCGCACGTGAGCTTTGTTATTTAGGAGAATTGCTAAAAGAATTGCATGGAGTCATTTCGAATATTGACGATGTAAAAAGTTAATGAAGTTTGTGAAAACGATTGGAAAGCGGTGTAACGTCAGTGTCAATTTCAATCTTAATTTATTTTTAAAATAAATAACTAGTTAGATATTAGTAAAGTTGATTAAAGTTAAGTTGTTTTGATGACGTAGACGTTTCTGTCTTTTCCAAAATGCATGTTTAAGTTTCCAATTTATTTTCAGATCATCGCAGTGATTGCTATCGGTCTCATTGTTGGGGCTCTGTATTCCCCACAAGTTGTGCAGTCGGACCATAGGCATATTGCCGTCATCTATTCTGCCTATTCTAGTAAGTACAGCCTCTATTATTGATTAATCATTTATTGCATTGACGTCTCCGGTTTCTTCAAAACAAAAAACTTCAGCAAAACCTTCAAGCAAATCTCTTTTGTTTTTGCTCAACGAAATTAAGAGGATAGATCTGAAAAGCCATGACCCGATTCGTTACATAGGAATTCGTTCTAATCTTTCAATTTACCAATTGTCACAGAATTGATTCGAGTACATTTCATGGCAAATTCACAAACAAACAATTAACGAATAAAGCAAAGTGGAACACAATACACATTGATTAAAGTAGGATGATAGATAATGCAAAAGGATCGCTGAGTTCTACGCAATACAAAGATATATTCATAAGGTTTGATGTCAACAGACTTTTCGTTAATTAGTTTTAAATTCAGTGTGTAATTGTTATTCAAACTTCACCATCCTTTGCCATCCTTCGAACTTCGGATGTACTTCAAACAGCAATTTCATGCATAAATGAACACAGTCTATTGTCACATCGTCACCGTTTCTTGCTACATAATTCTTTGCAAACTTTAACCTTACCATAACATTTATTGTTAAACTAAACCACCGGTAGCAAAAAGAACATTACTACAAAATCGATTTTAGAGTGAATAAAAACCATTCTCGTATAGCATATCGATTTTATTGATCATTGAATCGAATTTTCCTTTCATGAAGATGAAAATATATGATCAATATCGATGAATGATATTTTACATTATAATCGAGTAAATCGGTTTCACTTAATACACAAGTGGAAAATTGGTTTCATTGAACTTTGTGTGTGAAAGTGAAACCTGTAAACACTTGTAAACGTAAACCGTCAACCGTAACCCGATTTATGGTAACTTCCTGAATGCGAAGTCGACGCTCGAATTGTGTTTCATAACAATATTACCGATATTTTTCCTGTTTTAATTATCTATGTTTTCATTCAAGTGGCTCATGTTTAGTATTTCGTTATGGTTCTCAGTGCAAAATAATCACCTATGTTGGTAATAGTGTACTTTGCTTCAATATTAATTTGGAATTGTATGATTAATGCCTCTTCTCACGCATAGGCCTTGATAAATGTTTTAGATATATCTATCGAACGATTATTGTACCTATTGTTCAATTATTAAGAAACTCGCTAAAATTAAGTTTCACGTCATAATAATTAAATCATTGGTGTCTATTAATCAATTTGTTTTGATGCCACCGGATGATGGAGGAATTATATTATTACCGGTACCGCGAAATTACTTATAATAACTTTATGTAATGGATTAATTTCAAAACTAGATGACTCAATACTAACATTGTATTCAATTTCTCTTTATATAAAAGTTTTAGTTATGAAATACTCTATAGATCTCGGAGAGCCTTTGTATAGAACGTAACACCAATTTAGAGCCACTTAAATATTTTTCTGTATCCCCTTCTTCACATTGATTGGTGTCAGATAATTGGAAGTTCACAGAAGTCTTATTACTAGAATCCCATGTGTAGTTAATTTTATCAACATCTAAATTATCTATTTTGTTATTGTTTAGGCTACATCATCATCACAGGCGTGCTTATCATCGCGAGGCTGTTCGGAGAGTCGCCTGGCTGGAGGACGTCTATCGGCTTCTCAGTACTGGGCGTCATCATGTTTACTGCGGCTGCTGCCGTTATATTCTATGGTAAGTTTTCCTAATCATTACTTAGGTAGGTATACAAAAATATAAACAATCAGCCTAGGGGGCTAGGGTGGATTCCCGTCACAGGAATCATAAAGCATGTATGTAGGGGAAAAAGCGTGTTAGCAATTAAAATATGCACCCTTATATTCCCATTTCCGCTTTCCGCAATAGGGTTCACAATCTGGGAAAACCATTTCATTATATTCTTTATCAACGATTTTGTGTCGGGCTGACACATTTATTTTTTCACAAATTACGTATCAACTAGTAATTACGTGATTAACTCAAGAATCAGACGAATGGTAATCTAGTAGTTTCCATGAGCAGTGATCCGATGAAGCGTATATAATAACAACGCAATAGATCGATCCTACTTTACGAACAAACTGGTCCTACGCGAGCGATGTTCAAATATGTGTCTGTTTACTAATTAAACAAATACTTTGTTTAATTATGTAAGTGGTATGCTATGTACGGCTATTAAATTTGCCTTAAAACAAGCTAAGATGAGAAACTTAATAAATACTCGTGTATTTTAAATTCAAGATATTATACCTATGTGATAGCCCACACTTAGGTAACTATTTATTGTTAATGCATAGTTTTACAATGCAATCAAGCGTTTGTTTAGAAGTAATAACAAAATGTTTGCTCCTAACGTTCAGTAACTACTTATTCAATAAAGATTTCTAGTCACGGACAGTTGTTAAATAAATAATTGATATGCACAGTGCACCTATGAGCCCACTAGGCTCTATAAGGCAGAGCCTTGGCGTTGCCTATTAAAAATGTAGACAATTAGTCTATGGGGATTGGTGTGAAGTGTAACTTCCGTTCCTTTCTATTACAAGTTGTGTTTTAAAATGAATTATAAAATCGTTGCTTAGCATAACTACATTGATTGTTCGGTTTTTCAAACAATTTCTTCGACTTAACTGTTTATTTAGGTGTGGCAAATATAATTTGGATATGTAAATTTTCTTTTTTTTTTCAGACTGGCACAGATCTTACTACGCAAATCTCCGTCCGAACAAGCAAGCATACGACCTCCTTATATCTTCGGGAGTATTTGCAGTAATAAACGTCGTCGTATTCCTTGTCCATGCCTTCATTACATTCAGAGAGGAAGCAGACTACTAAATAATGGAATCTCTAAATTAATTCTTAAATTCGGCTGTTCTTCATTTCTTTTATTATTTGGACATTCATTTTTGCTATCAAAACCAAAGCGTTATTGTTAAGTCACTTTCATTTTACTTAGTTTTTTCATTTTCACTACATTGGAAGTTTTTTAATGGCTCTCTCTCTTTCAAGCCCGTTGCATAGCCTACGTAATCAAAGATCTTTTTATTTTTAGGTTTAACCTTTAAGAGTATTATTTTAACATAATCGTAGTTAAGTGTTTGTATCCATTTATTTTTAAGTGTATATAAGTTTATCGATATGTTGCCTCATTGTGTAGCTAATGCTTTTTATTTTTATTTAAATATTCATACCCAATGTTGCCCTCAGCAGTAGCTACTTGGAATTTTGAACATATTCATTTTTCTCTATTTTATATCTAAGCACATTATTCTATGTAAGTATTTATACAAGCAGCTATTTACTTATTTTCATTTGGATACAGTCTATTTAAGTATCTACTTATTCTATGGACAGCTATTTTCTTATTTATACATGGCAGCATTTATGTATTTTTTATGTTGGCAAGGCATCTATTTAGACATTTTTAGGAAGTGGGCAACTATTTTATTTATTCTATACAGATCTAAACGGCAACTTTGTAAAAATCTGTGTAAACTGGGCAACTAATAATTTTTATAATGACAGTCTATTTAATTAGATTTTATTAATATAAATTAATGGCAGCGTGTTATAAAATCCAAAAATGGCAGCTATGACACGGGCAGCTAATTAGCAACTTATAAAATTTAGGCAACTTAAAAAAAAACCATGGCGGCATAAAACAGGCAGTTTATTTTAGGTATTAACAATAGTTTTTATTAATAATGGCAGGATAATATTTAAGTTTTTTTTTTAATAAGCAGCAATACTTCCTTTATGTGTATAATAGACATCAAACACGCAAAGCACACAAAATTCATCAAAATAGCAGACTAAAATTTGCTCTTCACTGTATTTTTTTGTAATATTGTTTTTTTTACATATTGTGTTATGGCAGCTTTATTATTCAGAACTTTTATTGTGCAGCCAAACTTCCCAAGAGTTATTGAAAGCAGCTATTTTTATCACAAGATTCAGCTACCATTTATTCGCGGCAGTTAATTATTTCACAGCTAACAAATTAATGCAGCTATTTTATACAACAAACACTGCTATGAAAAGGCAGCTTTAAGGTTTAATCAATAATATAAAAAGTAAGCTTTAAATATCAAGGCAGCTATTTACCTATATTGTATTATTTACCTACAATCAGTATTTAATCTAGTTTCACGAAAATCAGCTATTTATATTGCAGCTAGTTTTTTTCCAAATGGCAACTTGTTTAGTTATATTTTTAATTGGCAGCAGTAGCTTGTTATTCAGCCTATTACAATGCAAAATATTTCGGCCGAAAGTGCAAGTATAGGATTATGTTTTTTTATTTAATTAGTATTGTGAGACTGTTGTCTTACGTAGGTGTGGATCGCAGAGGTTAGGGATCGATTAGAAAGCTAGAGAGTAAAAGAGTGTAAAGAATAAGAATTTTTGTTATTTTGCTTTTTTGACGAAAACATTCTAAATTATTGCGTTTTTAGTTTAGTTGAGGTTAGATTAAGATGATTATCCGATTATTACTGTAACATTCCGCTAAATTCTAATTTAATTAGATTTATTTTTAAGCTTTGTGGCTCTTACCATTTTTAAAGACTTGTTTTGAATTCTTCAGTAAAAAAAGTTTTGATGGTTTATTTCACACTTTCAATATGATTAAATTAATCTAAAAATATAATATTTTATTTATAATGGTAAGGGCCACAATTATTTCATTATTATTACTTAATGAAGCAAACCACCGTGCGTTGTTTTTAATATCTAAAACTTGTACTCTTCAATATTATTTATCCTGGCAACCATTCAACAAGATTCGTTTTATTTGAATTTGAAATTAATGTTATGTTATTTAAGTTGTTTATTTAGTTAATTTTAAGTTATGTTTAGTTATATTTAAAGGATAAACCAAAGCAGTAATCAGTATCCGTCCAGTGGTAGTTAAGTTTTCTCTGACAACTTCAGAAACATTATTTCGCCTTCAAAAATAGTAAAACCTATAATAACTTCACTGTAGTGATCTGATTAAACGCATGTTCTCTTATTAATATTTCTTGTTCACGTTAGTTTAACTTTAGGAACTTTAGTTAGCTTTTTCTATTTTATTTTTCAAAAAGTATTTAGTAGGTATTCTTCAACTATAGTCGTAAATTCGTTTGGTATAGAATGTAGAATAAAATATTTTTCATCATCATAAGATTAGTTAATATTAGTTTTAATGAAATAATTATAAAATTACGTGTGTGTATCACATGAGTTGTGAAAGTTTATGATAAGGCAAATAAGATTTATACGACATTATGTAAATAAAAATATATAACTTATGTAACCGGCGCTAATGTTACCTTATTTATTCCCCATTTTAATAACAAAAGGTACCCGCGTCACTCACAAACTAAACTCTTTCGGTAAGAATATAAATAATTGTAAAACCCAATGTATCTTGTATGTAACAATTTAATAAATAAAAGCATTAAAAATTGTTTTATTTCAACAAATAGACAAAGTAAAATGCAATACAAAGATTCTAGAGATCTATAAATGAACGACAATATATAAACAATGATAAGATTTCAATTAGATCCTACATATATTAAAAAACAAATGCATAAATTGCACGATCAATAAACACGATTAATAAAAACATGCAATCTAGCATAAATTCTTAAAAGTTAACAGGGAGGTATGAGAACCAGAGGGTCCTTCGTATATCTATCTGATGGAATACCAGCTGATAAAAATGCACAACACCCTGTTATCTTTACAGACACGCGATGTGGTTCATCGCGTGTCTGATAACCAAAGCGAATTCTACAACCCATTCGTGACGAACTCAGTCTACCTACAGTATCAACTTTATAATGTGAGGTCACGGACATCTACAAAACACACCTTCGTGCTACGAATGCTTTACAATAATCTATCTTCGACTTTCGCAAAAATATTGACGGGAAATTAAGAAAAAACCTAGATCAAATGAAAGCTTTCGACTTTTACCATAAAAGTTCTATACAGATATTAAAATGAAACGATTTGATAATATTTGGTACGGTCTCATTATAAAGTTAAACTTATAGGTATTCTGTTTAATCAGTCATATTATTGACTCTGCATCTACTTAATTTTCTCGGAGTGATTTGGTGTCCCTCAGGGAAGTGTAATAGGACCATTCGTTTTAATTCAATATTATAGATCTAATTCTTATTACAATTTATTACAATATAAGCAGATGGTAATAATAAAGTATTTCTTCCTAAGTTAACATAGGTATCGAGCTATCTACCGTATCGACGATACGGGGCTCTGGACTGCAGAGGAAACCCCAACCTACAAGAGCAAAAGTAATAAAAGCAACTTCTTTATTCCAAGACAACAACGAAATTTATTCACAGATGACAGGTTTCATTATTTATGGACATTTTTCCCAATATGCTGATATGACTGCCTCGTTGGCCGAGTGGTCGCAAGTGCGACTCGGGCAAGGGATCTCGAGTTCGATTCCCGGGTAGGGCAAAGTATTACTGGGTTTTTATAAATCTCAGTAGTAGCACGGAGTCTGGAAATGTGCCCGGTATATGGCAATAGACTCACGCTCTATTACATGGGACTCATAACATAAATAGTGAAAAGTGGGTGTTACATTGTACAGTAGTATTAAGTGCCGAAATGTGCATCTCTGCCTACCCCTTCGGGGATAAAAAGGCGTGATGTAATGTTACGTTTTTTTTTTCAATATTTAATAAACTCTTTCAAGGACGTTGAAAAAGTATAATGGGATCATATTTTGTCGTATTTTTTACTTTAACAGTTTTTACAAAGTACCTACATCAGATGATAGTTATTCGTTACTTTACTATAATATAAATTCATAGGCGGTTCGTCCAAAGGAGTGATCGGACGACCGGCCAAACTGATAGTAATACAAAAAATAGCAACTAAACATTTGTCTAAAAAACGTGATTTATTTTATTACATATTATGTATGTATTATCTATGTTTAGCGGTTCCCCTTTAGACAAACTCATTAAAATAATATTACTAATGTAATGCGAGCTTTCTTTGACTAGCCTTATGACTAAAAGACTTTGTACCAAACTAAGCCTAACTTGAAAAAGCTGATAGTAACTTCAATTTTTTTTGACATTTGACACTTGACAGTCCAAAATAAAAAAAAAACAATGCTACATGCTACATTTAGAACGAATATTATGTAAAGAATGAGGAAAAGTAAACCAATAAAGAGTTATAAGTAAAATAAACTTACCTTTTCGGCTTTCGCCAAATAAATCCACAGTTTTCTCCATGTCGAAAACTTCTTCTGATCGCTGAAATTATATTGCATCTCTTTGGAGGCATAACGGGTGCTCAATGGGGACCGATAATTGCAATATTCAGAATTTTGGATCTCCACGGGGGCGTCAATTGAGAACATTTTGATCACGATAAATTATATTTGTGAGAATCACTAGTTTTCTTGGTGCGTCAATAGCCGCATACAGCTGACACTTAAATGAACATAACCTAACAACGACACCAAGGTCGGCCGAATCGGCGGGAGAATTCGATTCCGATAACAAGGTTATCTTAATAATGTTTATTGTATGACGAAATTAGAAATAACTTGTGACGAAAGTAGACTGGTTAAATGTGCTACCAACGCAAACAAAATGTTACTTCATTGTTGAATTGAAAACAACTTCGCTCTTTCAATAAGTTACTTAGAATTTGTCTAACAGCTTAGTTTCGAAGAAAATACATAAGTATATCTACACACGTTGACATATGTACGTACATAAGCTTACGCCTCACCCATAGGGGCAGGCAGAGATGATATATATGATGTTGAATTTAGAACATATCTATTTTTAATAAGAAAATCAGATAGGTACCTATTCTAAGTTTAACTTTGGTACCAAAGTGTACTTGCTTTTGTATCAATTGAATTCAGAGAAAGATAGAATAATAGGTACCTACTTATATTTAATATAGGTAGATACCTAGATGTTAAGAAATTGTATGATATCGATTGAAAAAATATTAATAACTTCGGTTAATCAACTAATAAAATGAGTGTTACTGTTGGTATGTTACTTACCCCTTGACTACAAAAGGTGTGATGTTCTACTGTACCTAGTTTTGAATTAGGTACTTTCAAAGTTTGACAAAAATAACTTCATCTACTAACTAAAAAGAAAATAACACAGTCAATTTGTAAAAATACTTTTTATTTACAACATTATAATATTTCAATACATGTTTGGTTTTAAAATAAAAAAATACTATTGCTGCATGAAAAATATAATTATTTGGCAGTTATAGGTAAGGCACCAGATCGTAAATTTACAATGATTGCATTTAAACAACTTTCATGATATAAGACCAACCAGTACATATCATTGTATAAAACTTTTATTTATAAAAAAACAACTCAAATTCTTTGTCCAATGTACTTACAAATATACAAGTTAACATACATAATATACAGTTTTCAGTGCATTCTGTTTATTGTCTTGCTTTACAACGAAATAATAGCCACATTATACCAAGGATCTGTAGACTTATGAATTTGTAACAGTTAGAGTTACATAATTTTATGCCTGTTAAACCCTCCTTATGTATGTGTGTATAATTAAAATATTCCTATGATAACAAAACACTTCCTCTGCAGTACTTGTGATTCTATAGTACTATATCATAGTTGTACAAGTATGCCAAGGGAACGTGTTCAGCTCTTTACTTCTTCTTTTGGAGTGATTTCATCATTTTCTCCAATTTCATAGCTTTCTGGATATCTCCTTTGATCTTCAATTTGCCCATCATGAATGCTGTTGTTGGCTTCAGTTTGCCTGAGAAAAATGAAAAACAAATGAAATTGTTGAATATGATGACAATGCTGTTTTTTAATTTTTTAACAGTTGAGGATAACAAATGGGTAGTTTCCAGGGTATCAAAATTAAAAATCTAATTAGTCCGTCAATTAGATAATGAAAAATATTAGACACGTATTTTTTTTATTTTCTCGTATTAAGTTGCAATACTTAGATAAAATGGCGCTATGTTTAGGAGTGGGAGGTTGTTACGTCACAACGTGCTACAAAATGTGGCATGCTGTGACGTCACACGATATTTGAAATTAATATATCGTCGAAAGTATTAATTTTGTGAGAAAAGAAAAAATATGAGTCTAAAGTTTTAAATTAATGTACCAGACGGACATTAAAATAAAATTTAGGAAACTACCCTATTCTTGGGCATCCAGAAAGTAGGTTGAGTCCAAAATCATCTATTAAACAGAAGGATTGTAGAAATAATTTGGCGGGATGTAATACTTTAAATCATTGATTAATCACATATGTGGTACTAATCCGAAAAAAGAGGTAATGTAGACAGCAGGTCGATATTATGTATTTACCAGCAAACATCTCAGCGAAGTGTTGTCCGTCCATGGTGAGGGTCGCGTCTGGTGGGTTCTTGGGCTCGCCCTGTCCGCATTGTCCGTCTCCGTTCTTCAAGTCGATATGCCATACGCCCTCTTCCTTACCTAGATATGATCATAGTTGCATGGTTTGAAATAAATTGGTACAAAAATTTCACAAAAAACGTATTAAAAGTTTTCTGAACTAATTCGCGTGACTAATATCGTTATTATGAAGAATAATGAGTTTATGAATTTATAGAACATTAATATGTATTTATATGTTGCATAAATTCATTACGCCATAAGGCGTTGAGTTCTAATCCAGTATTTTTATGAAAAACGCCAAATAAACATCGAAAATTATATAATAGCAAATATTCGCAACACTTCATATTGCTGTAAAAAGTTGATAAAAATTATACCTTTCACATTGAACTGGTAGACGGCCTGGGTCTTTTGTACCAGGTCTGAGGAGAGCACTTTGCTGATGGAAGCAAAGAGGGTTGGGATTTGACCTTCTGATGACCCTTCCTGTAAATTTCAGAATGTCCTATGATTGACTGAGTCAAGAAAAATTTATTTGGATATTCTGCACATTGCTATTGTATGAATAAATTGAAAATGTATTTTAATTGTTTTTATTTACTTTCATAGGTAATAGATTAAAAAAAAAAGTCACAGGCTGGTATTTTGAGACCATGGCCTCCAACAACAACTTAAATTATTTGCATTGATTTAATTACATTTACAATCGAATTTAGAATTTCTTGAATGACATTCATGAATTAGTTTTATGTAATTTTCATGTATCCATGACCATTATGAGAAATGATTTGAGTAAACTAGTCCATTGAATCCAATTATTATCACCATCACCAACATAGTGTTAGTTAAAACTTTATATTACATTAAAATAAAAATAAAAAATTATGCCTTACATAATTATACTTCACTAACTACCAAAAGTTTTTATTATATTTTTGTTTTTCTACCATGCACTACTGCTAACTACTGTCTTATTACATCACATTACCCCCAATGCTTGAAACCTCTTTCTTTGCTTCTTAGTTTCTGAGACTAGAAAAATTCTATGTATAAAATTATATTTATTTTACCCAAAAAATAAACTCTCATTAAGGGTAAAACACACACATGCAAATAGAGAAACACAAACACAAAATAAATAAAACCAATCATGCAGAAGAAACAAATGGTCATAGATAAATTTATTATATTTTATTTATTCACACCGGTTTGGCTTTGGATTTGATTCCCTCTTTCATAGTAGGTAGGTCCAGGAAGAAGTCAGGTAGCAAATTGTTTATGTTATCTGTGAACAAAGGGAGATTCCCAATTTGAAAAACGGAACAATTTTCTTTTTTTAATTTTGGGCTATTGTTTTTTTGGACTGGTTTCCTGGACCTTGAAGCGTCGTTTTCACCTTTGACCACTGATTTTTTCTGTTTAGAAAACAATATAGCATACGATTATATACAAAGCTTACATGCTAGTATATTTAAACTATCATAAATACATATACAGATAGATCAACTACACTTCGAAATCTCGCTACCAATACACTATTATCCAAGTCTACCAGACCAAAGGTTTTGAATGACAAACCTTCTCCTTGTAGTGGACTGCGGATGTGTGGTACTGTCTGACGCGGTTAGCAGACGTTATAGTTTTCTGATGCTGTGCAAGTGCTTCGGGGACATCCAAGAAACCATCCAGTAATAGGTTATCAGCGTTCTCTGTGACCAATCATTACTCTGTGTAATTTACCTCTTAACTATCGATATGACAATACAGGAGAAAAATCTGGTGTAGGGCCAAGTTTATGAATAATTGCTTTATCAGTACCACAGAGTAATATGTTTTACAGAGTTATAACGAAATGTTCCATAGAATCAAGGAATGTTGGATGGGATAACATTGGAATGTAAATAATGTTATGGACTAAAAAGTAGAAATATGTAACATGGGATGATTATAGGGAATTAATTACCCCTAAAAAGAATGATCATTTTAGTAAAAAATTCAAATGTTCGATTAGAAACGCAAGATTGAGGAATATTGATGGTTTACTTTAAAATCTTTGAGCGCTGCTAAGCGAGTTACGAGCGGTGCTGCAGGTAAACAATGCACATGATATGATCAAAATAATCAATAATATTTTGGTAGTATTAATTACAAGTAGTATTATCATATGTTTATACTTACTGGGGTCACAAGCATAGGGTGTCAAATCCTTGACGCCGACAGACTTCACAATATCTTCATCAATCGCAAAGTTGCCCGTGTAAGTTTTAGGATCTCTGTAAAAATACAAAATTGTGAGACACACTAAATAAAAATCGCGGGTTACATACATAACATCACGCCTTTTATCCCCGAAGGGGTAGGCAGAGGAGCACATTATACCACTGTACAATGTAACACCCACTTTTCACTATTTATGCTATGAGTCCCATGTAATAGGGGGTGAACCACAGAAGGGTTCTTCCTCATGAGCAGCGTGCGCAGTCGCGGCCATGTCGCGCAGCCTACTGGCTAGCGTTGGCGCTAGCATCGGTGTTGTTGTGGTTCGAAACTAGTAGAGCTTTTCTCAGTATATTCACGTGAGTAACCCGCGATTTTTAGTTAATACAAAATTGGTTACATATTACAAATGTTACAATGATCTGGGAAAACTACTAAGACAGTTGCTGTAGCTAGTTAAAAGACAAACAATCTGACAATGGATCAACCAATCATGTAGATCATTTCTGTGCTTGTCACATGGTTCAGTTGTACGAGGTAGATAGCTATTTGTAATTGGGTACTTTCCCTAATCAAAAATAAATTATTTCGACTGTTCAATACGATAAAATATTAAAAAATAATCACATTTTCTTATATTGGTTTTATGACCAACTTAATTTTACTGTTTCCAACAAGTTTTTAGTAATAAGTATGCTGGTTAAGCTGGTTGCCGCTATAAAAACGTGACGTCACAATACACATTCTCGTTTTTTTCGTTTTATTCATAGAAAACTGTCGTTTTTGACGGTTCGAAATAAGTATAGAATTTGATTAATTGGCAAATACCCAATTGAAATCAATCAGTGTCAATCAAGGAAAAGAAATCAGACAACATGTGGGCAACAGTTGCGGAGAGTAAAAGAGTTTAGTGTCGCGCTGTTGGAGAGATTTCATGTTCAGCAGTGTACGGGGAAACGAGCTGATGATGATGATGTTGAACAATACAGTACTTGCTAAGGATGACGTAAGCGGCATCTGAGACGATTTCCACCTTGCGGCTGGTGGAGCTTGTACCGGTCAACATCTCAATGGCGGCCGTCGCGATAGCTAGAAGATGAAATTAAAATTTAGAAATTTATTTATTTTATTTGCTCCCAACTGAGATACAATTAACCAGCATTTTTTAGTGAAACATTTATACATAAGAGGGAGACAGGAGCCATGAACTAAATCAATGTTACTGTATGTCTCTAGTCATTCAGAAGTAAAGCTGTAATTCAATTGTTGTACAAATAACGGTGGCACTAGAGGCGCTAGTGTAGTTTAAGGTTTAGCTAAGGTTGTCAGTCAATCAACTTGCGACAAATTAAGTTGATTGGATTATCAAGACAATTCAATAGCGCCGTCTGGTGAACTTTCGTTTAGGTTTTATTTTATTTTTCGCATACGTGTACGGTGGAAATCAAACCTACGTACGTTATTTATTATTCGTGAAGTAGTGAAGTTATTACATACCGGTCTTGGGCCAGAGAGCATTGACTGCGATGTTGTCCTGCTTGAACTCTTCAGCCATACCGAGCACGCACATAGACATGCCGTACTTAGCCATCGTGTAAGCTACATGTACAGAGAACCTGGAATATCAAATGCAAACATATTCCTTTAAGATCCATTTTCTTTAAATAGGTATCTACTTTATTTTGATTTCAAAAGGATTTAAAAACAATTAATGATAAAACATTTAACCATATTGTGATATTTAGTTTTTATATTCTTGCTTCAGCTGTTGAATCATTAAATTTAAAGTAGCTGGCAAGAAACCAATAAATGTTTTTTAACTTCTGACTTTGTTTATTTTTTAGTTAACGCACAGTTAACGTAACGTGTCCGCGTTCTCTTTAAAGACTAATGCAAATACTATTTATGATTATTTATAATTAATTTGGAAGTACTCACCAGTAGGGGTTCATGTTGAGGGGAGGCGACAGGTTGAGGATGTGAGCATGGTTGCTGGCCTTCAGGTAGGGCAGGCACAGCTTGGAACTAGAAGAGACAGTTATAGAATAACATATGGTAACATTTTTCTGAGAGGCTGTAGTGTCACTCTGGTCGAGTTGGCGCATTTGCGTCGAAGTATGGCGCTTGCATAGTTTTTTTTAATTGTTTAACAATCTTTATTATTATTTTCATGGACAACATACCTTATTAACTTATAAAGTTATAAGAAAGAAAGAAAGAAAGAAAGAAAATTTTTTATTTGCACACTGACACAAGTAAATAAAATAAGAAACAATACAGTAAGACGGCGCAAAAAGGCAAGAGCTCAGCTTAAATGCCGTGACATAACTGAAAAAAATACCTAAATAAATATTTACTTCAAACTTCATGGCCAAAGCCGTCAAAGCATGACTGATTACTTCAATTTACCTAGAGATTTGATGAAGGGAAATAAATTGAAAGAATTTACATAATTCCAACAAGAGGGTAATTTATTAAATTACGCTACTGGCGTTATTTTGCATATTGTTTGTTTTGGTATTTTACTCTGCTGATTGATTCAATAAGAATCGGAAAAGAACAATTTAAATAAAAAAACTACATTTCGTTTCACACATTCCTGTTTCCTGTAGGAACAGTAAAAGCTATACGTCAGTTAAAACGTAATTTATTTATTTTATAATTAGCGTCTCAGTTTTACCTTAACTTTCACCTCATTACATTTCCGACTTTATTACAAACCAATACGAATTCAAAATTAAACAAAATTGATAGTGTACTTACGCCAAGAAAGTACCCCTAGTGTTGATGTTGTGCATGAGGTCGTATCTCTTCATGTCCGTGTTGGCGGTGTCAGTGAGAACAATGGCGGACGCATTGTTCACCAAGATATCGATGCCGTTGAACTGGAATGCAAAAGAATCATTATACATGCTTTTACACCTTAAACTGCTTGTACATCTTTTCAATTAAGTAGGTTTATAGCCTAAATGGAGGTATTTTTAAATTATATTTAAAACTAGCGACTCGCCCCGGCTTCGCACGAGTGCAATATGCATGTATTATACATATAAACCTTCCTTAAGAATCACTCTATCTATTAAAAAAAACCGCATCAAAATCCGTTGCGTAGTTTTAAAAATCTAAGCATACATACCTACTACATAGTATAAAACAAAGTCGCTATCCGCCGTCTGTCTAGATGATTGTGAATTATGAACCCAGTGATTGATTAGTTCCGCAAATTACGCAATTTCTAGGCATTACAAAAATTAAATATGTTTTTCTATACTATAATCAATAGAAATAAAGTAGTATGGGCTTCCTGATGGTCACCGTAGCCTGAATAGGTAGGTAAGTACATCTACAATACTGTAGGCATCATAAATGTGTTGCCAATCATATAGGAAACTGTATTACTACGGCACTAAAAACTTAACACCCATTTCCTCTTTTAATTCACAAAGGACTTATTATAGGAACAAGATTATCAACAGATAAATACATATCGGCTTATATGTATAGTACAATCATAACAAAAAACAAACAGTCCAAAGATCATCGCTATATTTAGTTTATATTTTGAGACTTTAGATAAATAATTCATTAAGAGCTCTGTGGACTTTGATCAAATATAAAAGTCTAAAGTCCAAATGAACGGCATTCATGAATATTTACTATTTAATCTGACAAGTTTATAATCATTTGGAAAAATACAGGATGTAATATGAACATTATCGATTTGTTCTAAATGAGATGCCTCGTTGGTCGAGTGGTAGCAAGTGCGACTGGCGGGCAAAGGGTCTCGGGTTCGATTCCCGGGTCGGGCAAAGTATTACTGGGTTTTTAATTCTCAGTAGTAGGACGAAGTCTGGAATTATGTCCGGTATATGGCAAAGTGGGTGTTACATTGTACAGTGGCATAATGTGCACCTCTGCCTACCCCTTCGGGGATAAAAGTTATGTTCTAAATAAGATGATACAAGTACAAGACTTATCACTACCTGGCGATTTCAATGAGTTTATTGACACAATATTGAGTGAAAGATAATAATCAATGAATCCAATGTGTCTGCATCTTAATTTTTAAGTACTACCTTATACAGTTACACAATTTACACATACTTAAGACTGTAGACAGATTAATAATATACTGAATAAGAGTGGAAAGATAAAGAATGAACTCACATTAAATAATCATTTGTATCTATAGTCGGAAGCGTTTTTGACCAGTTATGATGTAGTTTAGTTTTGTGAGTATAATAATATGTAAGCAAATATTGGATTTTGTATGTATGTGTCTTTGAGTGTATATAATACTACATATTGCACACGGAAACTACTATTACTAAACTCCATTATGTAGGTAACATGACCTGTTATATATTTTTCAGATAAAACAATCAAATACAGATTATGAGGACTTTATAGTTATGCCTCGAAATTTCCTATTGTTAATTAATGTTTTGATTATGCTGCCATAATTAGATAGACACATGATATTGCACACTATTATATTAAGTATGTAGCATTATTTTTTGCATGGAATAGTATTGTTAACAAGTTAACTGTCTAAGCAGTCCTACAACTAGCAATGAACTTTTAGAATATGTTAATTTGTCACATATGACTAATTTTTGGTACAATACGGTAGATGCCTAGTTTTTATTTTAATGTCCGTCTGGTAGATTATTTTAAATCATCAGACACGTATTTTTTATTTTCTTGCAGAAACGAATACTTTCGACGATATATTGATTTGAAATATCGCAGGACGTTACTTCTATGTACATTTTATACGTAGAAATAACGTTCTAGCTCCCATTCCTAAACTTTGATTCGTTTTATCTAAGTATTGTTTTATTATACGACAAAATAAAAAATACGGTCTAATATATTTTCATTACCTAATACTGACGGACTAATTAGATTTTTAATTTTCATAACCTGTCATCATCCCAATTTTGGGATGTATTTCTGATATGATTGTGGCACCAAATTCTAATATAAACTACTTGGATATGTAGCAGAAAAATCTGACCTTTAAAAAAGTAATGGATGTAGGGTAATCGTAAATTTTATTGTATGGGAACAATTAAGTTGTTAATTTCATTCGGGCGGTAGTTACTAATGGCTTATACTTTACCTTTCTCTACTTATAGAATATCAAGACTATTGAGGTACTATGAACAAATAATTGCTAATAAAATTTAAATCTGAATGAAGTAACAACCCCTGGATTGAACACATTGTTTTATTTTATTTAAACTCTCAGTGAGATCAAACAATTTACCTGAATGTTATAATGACCGATTGAATGTTGAATTACAATTGGGATGATGACAGGGTATGAAATTTAAAAATCTAATTAGTCTGTAAGTTAGGTAATTAAAAAATATTAGACACATATTTTTTTTTGTTGTATAATAGAACAATATTTAGATAAAACGAATCAAGTTCAGGAGTGGGGGCTAAAACGTCATTTCTACGTATAAAATGTACATAGAAGTGACGTCATGCGACATTTCGAATCAACATATCGTCGAAAGTATTCATTTCTGTAAGAAAATAAACAATATGTGTCTAATGCATTAAAATAAAATTTAGGCATCTACCCTATTCTCATATTTGTATACATATATCTCATTGTTGTTCGGTTTGCACTACTGAAGAAATTATGTTTCCATTCAAGAAGACATTTTTGATGATAAAACTATCATAAACTTTGCCTTTGAAAAAAATAATGCCCAAACAAATTTGGTGATCAATATGAGTGATATTTACCTTCTTGACAGCCTCATCAACAGCCTTCTGGATCTGTTTCTCATCCCTTACATCTACAATGCAAGGCAGGGCCTTACCTCCTAGCGCTTCAACTAAAACAAAAAGTTTTGTTTAGCTTTGTAAATGTTAAAAAAAGGCATAATAAATTACAAAATAGATGATGTTGTAAAGGGACTTGAAGAAATCAAACACAAATTAGAAACATCACTTAAATAAACACAGAAAAAGAAATGCTTCTAAAAAGTTATATACCTACTTTGTTTTAAAACTTTCTATGATTATGCACAAATGCATATTGTACAGTTATAACGGACATTCTGAATTTGCATTTCTAATTGGAATATTATGAGTTTTCTTTTTGTTTGAAAACTAATTGCTTGCTTCTAGCAAATTAGGTATATGTTTTAATTTACTTAAAATTAAAACAAATTAATTTTCATACTCAACAATAATATTATGATTGTGTAAGGAAAACTTATTATAGTAATTAGTAGGTTGGTGTCTCAATTAGAGTGAATTGAATATCTTATTTATTTATTTTATTTATTTATCTATTTATGCACAACACACAGACAGTACACAGGAGAACATATATAAATATTTTGGAGGTACATAGGAACTACATATTCCCGAAGGAATCTCTTCCTGCAGTCCTTCGACAGGAAAAACGGTAAAAAAAGAGACACTGTGCGTAACACGACATGAAATGTGTTAAATAAATAGATCACAATAAAATACATAGACCTATACATACATATGATAGATACACATCAAATAATACACATATTAGAGTATATTACAAATAAACATATTATACATATATATATATATATGACACTAATTTGAACAAGATGAGGAAAGGTAGTGCTCCCTTACGAGTCTTTTAAAGATTGGGATGGATTTAGAATCACGGATATTAGGTGGTAGGGAATTCCAAAGTCGCACTGCATGAACAGTGAAGGAATAGGTGTAAAAATCAGTATTGTGTGAGACAACAGAAAGATTAGATTTAAGATGAGATCGGGAAAGAGCCTCAGGAGGGCGGGCAAAGGAAAAACGTTCACGAAGGTAAGAGGGATAATCGGGATTAAAAAGTATGTTGAAAAGAAGACATAAGATGCGAGTGTTCCTGTGAAGTCGGATTGGGAGCCACTTGAGTCTTTTGCGAAATTCAGAGATATGATCGTACTTTTTTAAACCAAAGGCAAAGCGTATACAGACATTTTGCAAGCGCTCAAGTTTATTTAGAAGCTCCTCCGTGGCATCCAAATAGCAAGCATCAGCGTAGTCGATCAATGGACGGATCAGAGACTGCATAAGGTTGATCCTCGTTTTCAGAGGTAGAAGAGACTGGAGACGCTTCAGCGAATGCAAAGAGAAATGAACTTTACGACTGATCTCGTTCACCTGTTCACCCCACGAAAGGTTAGAATTAATAAACACGCCCAGATTCTTGGCAACATCAGTGTAAGGGATAACATTGCCATTTAGGATCAAAGGATCAAGGGCAGAGATGCTCAATGCGTTGCGGTAAAACCTACCACCAATTATCATAGCCGTCTTATCCATCTTATGTACCAATGGGTTGATGAATTAGAGATGTAAATGTACCTACAGCTTGGTACAATTGCCTAGTTATACAAAATTACATAAATATTGCAATCAAAATGCTCATATTGTTGAATTGTAGAAGATTATAGCTGATTACAGATAGAGTATCTATGATAAACTTTCATCAAAATGGAAAAATTGATCATGTTTCATATCTTTACTTCCTGGCTCTTTCATTCATATTATATTTTTTAAAGCAGTATAGTACAATATTTCCATTATTAGGTAAGGAAGGTAAATATGTAAATAAACAAAGGTCATTAACCTGATTAGCATTTGAAATTAAAGCATTGAAGCAGACTTTGAATATTCATTGTTACTCAATGGCCGTATCTACACAAATTTGTCTGAATCGTTTACAAAACAAATCCATCTAGGTCATTAATGTTGGTCGAAGTCCAACGCAAAATGGAGGGCAAAGTCCAACTCATATAAACATAGACATTCATCAACCAATCATCCAATTATGAATGAAATACAGTATTACATTATAAATAGACCTTATGAGAACTTGATAAAGTTACTTTTATAACTTACTTTCTTCAGCTGCCGTGTAAATAGTGCCAGGTAGCTTGGGATGCGGGTCAGCTGTTTTAGCGGCAATAACAACGTTGGCACCATCCTTCGCGGCCTTCAGGGCAATAGCCTTACCAATACCACGGGAGGCACCAGTAATAAACAGCGTCCGTCCAGCCAATTTCCTAATTATACAACGATTCGAAAAATTAGAAGAAAGTAGATCACACAACTGTACAGACTTCAAATACAAATTTCTTACCCGGTGTTAGCCACTAAACTCATTTTGAAATGATTATTTTACAATCTTACAGAAAAGAAAAGTTTAAAAGTCCTAAAACTGAATAATAAATTCAGTTCGATGTTAGTTTTCTTTTTTAAAATATTTCGCTTGACAAGTTGACAACGTCAACCAACACCTCCAGCGAAATGAATGAATCCTATAGAAAATGACATTTTGTTTTTGACACCAGTCAGTCAGTGTCAACTTCTAATCTGACAGATAACGGAAGTGACAACTTTGATAAACTATGTGAATGTGTTGCCACCACCATACATTTTAAATTCAAAACTTGAGAATTTTGCGATTGCGAGTTGCGAATGCGACCCGTTTGACTTTTAAGTCTTTCATCGTCGTCGTGCAGATGCACTGTATGCAGTACGACTTCCGTACTTCTAATTAAGTATGTACTAAGAATGATGAGTAAGGCAGTGTCAGGTCAGTCTTTGGAGTGACCGAATAGGGGAGAATGGGAAAAAATGTGCTGTATCCCTAAGCCAGGATAAATGGAATAATAATCATAAGAATGCGTAGTAAAAACTGTAGATTCCTGAATACTTTTCTGAAATATCCTAATAAGGGAGAAAAGATCTAGTTCTGATGCGACCTGAACGACAACATCTTTCACTTACTTGTATTATGCACCTATTGTGCTTATAATTTGGATAACTGATCGAAAAAATTACAACAGAATTATCCTTTTCTGACAATATTATTGCAAATATATCTATCTTAGGCGTCTGTCATAGCGGCAGATGGGACATTATTTTAAGCTAGGTAGGTATTATTGAACAAGTGTGAATTTCTTATTGTTAGATACTTACTTAGACTGTCTTGGAACTTACACCCTAAGAATATTAATAAAATAAATAAAAGGCAGGGAAAGATTTGAAATACATTTATTTTTGTGCATGATTTCATATCCTCACTCTCGCTAACTTCTAATGTACAACACCAGATAGGGTGAATACATACAATGATAATCTAAAATAAAACTTTAAATTATTATACATATCATAAGACATTCAGTTAGGCTTTATTCAAATTGCAATATATCTTTATTTATTTTATGGCTCGAATCGTTGATAATTTCATTTCATAAATTTTATTCTGTTCTAATTTACACTCTCTTTTGTACATAGCAATAAACTAGAGAATTTACAATTATTACATTAAATATCATAAAATCATTGTAAATTACAGAACTCTTGAGTATTATAATATATTTTAAATTAATGTATCATTCAGTCCTTTCGCAAACATGCCTAAAGAATAATACTCATTTAAATTAAGTATTTAAATAACAAAATAATTTGTTAGGAGATCTAACATCTATGAAATTCATTAAAAGTAACACAATCCTACACAGTGTAGGGAAAGACAATTTTGTGGCTGTTTACAATTTATGTTAAAACATATTTAAAGTGCAAACCTAGACATACTTAATTTCTTGTAACAAAACAAAAATTGGAAAACTCAAGTTATTTACAAAATAACTTTTTGACATTCACACATTTAAAATTATCAAAATATATCTACATGATTGATTATTATTAAGATAGATTACATTACATTCAAATTATTTACACTTACGCTACTCCTTTATTCGTTTAGAAACTTTTTATTCATAAAATTGCCGGGGATAAGTAGTCCTTATCATAGTTCCCTATCAAAGTAGATTATTTATCAACGGTGGTAAAATATTGATGATAAAATGGCTGAATTTCAACCACGATGATGCAACAAATAATACTCAATTTATCAGGTTAATATTTTGGATAATCTCATAATCTTTGTGTTATCTTATTGCTTTTAAATCACATAGTGCTGATAGAACTGTTCATAGTAGGTATCATGGATTAGGTAGGTAATAAATGTAACCCTGTTTACCTCAGCGATATGATTTTTCAGTGTTACCTTTCGAAAATATTGAGGCACTTCAGAAGAAAAAGTATTGTGTATGTACCAACCAAAGAAAAAATATGACTGCGTTCGGTTCTTTTTTAATTTGAAACAACTTTAAAGTTTCATTTTCACTATGATGTAGAAGATAAATGTACCATTTTTTTTTGTTACGTTATCTGAATTACATTTAAGATAGGTAATCGAGTTTATAATCTAAGATAGATTAAATTCATTGATAGAACTACGTAAACAGCACGACGAGAAGAGAAATTCATCTAAACAGGAATAGCTATTTCTTTAAGCATAAACTATATACCTGTCTAACAAATAATCCAAGGAAAGCGACAATATTTTACAGTGAAAAGCACCATAAATTCTGTAATATTCACTATCATTACTCACAACTTCCATTTAACTATTTAAAGCATTAACATAATCAGAATTGGCACCAAAACGAAATGAATAATGTAAAAAAATGTTAGTCACTGTAGAAAGTATAATGATTTAGTAATTGTCTTACTTATCGAAAATATATAACCGTATAATTGACAAAACGATGGCCGATCAGAAGCATCTAGGTAGGTATAATCATCGTTAGTTTCATCATAATTGTGTGGTATGTCTAGGCGGTAAAATATTCGAACGGCTAAAATTCAAATTTATGTTTATTTACAAGCGCTAACTACCTTCCTACGGTGACTAAGTTTCAACACTATATTCTATGCCACGAAAAAATATTTCTATTATTTGCCTAGTATATAAAATCTGTTCAAATGTAGGCAGGCTGCTTGGCTGAATGTTGCAGCGCTGCCAACACATCGTGTTTGAGCCTGACGTACAATCTTCCTTTTCTCCACGGATTTTGAAGTTGCAGAGGTCTAAAGTCGTCTCGGAGGCATCTTTCACGAGCGCCGATAACGGCTACAAGACAGAAGTCTTGTAGTTTCTCCGGGCCATAAACGGGACCTGCTTTGCCTTTTAGCACGGCGGCCATGTTGAGTTGTTTGACAACTAGGTCGATGACTTCTCGCGCCGATGTGCGCGGCGTCACGTGCAGCTTGAGTGAGGTGCCCGCCGCTAGACCGGTTTCGTATGCAGCGAATACCTGGAAAAATTGTATGTAGGTATCATTCATGCATTCATAATTACAGTTTGATGTAACACTTATTTTCATAACTGAAATCGCATTTAGGTGTGTGTTCATCATAAGAAGTTGCTTACTAGTGTGAATTATACAAAGTACCTATCCAAGTACAAAACACAGACGACTCAATTACAACGGATTTAAATAATGTGTACCTGTAGTATGCCAGCTTGGTCTTGAGCCCGTTGCTCTTGCGTCTTCGCATCTTCGCTGTCTCTTCTCTCATCAGTCTTTGGAACTTTATTGTTATACTCAGCGTCCTCCTGCGTCTCCAACAATGGCTGACGTTTGACGCACAAGTTTGACTTGGCGTACTCCTGCCCTGTGTCTGTGAAGTCTACGTCTCCTTTTACATTCGTCATACTTTTTGATGCTATGACATTACAAGGGGCCCTATAATGTTTTCCTTGAGGACGGACTTTCAAAGGAACTGTCGTCAGAGGACAGGTTTGACTTTCGGAATCACTTGACAGACTTTGGGCGGACTCAGAAACATTACCTTTCGACGTGCGAACACTTATCATACTTCCTGGATAATATCCCTTCACTGTTAGCAGAGGACTCGATGTGGTAGAACTAGCGTTGATGCTGTGCGGTCTGGGCTTCGGTTCTACGTTTTCGTTTTGGAGTACCAGGGTATCTTCACTTCGAGATGGCGGTAACCGATTGCTACCAATGCTGTTGTGAGAACCAGCTGAAGACTTTATATCGAATTGTGAATTACTACTCATGAAATTGTTGCTCATAGCACTGGACTGTGTATACTGGGAGTCGGCACTGCCTTTTCTTGGAAACTTATCCGAGTCCGGGTTTAGGAATTGTGAGCTGCATAAATTCATAGTAGACACAGATGTCTGCCGAGGAGAGAGACTTAACTGTTGTTCGGATTTACTGAACTCTGGATGTAAGTTGGCGTGGTTACCGTTACCTGCAGGACCTGGCCATGACCCTCGACCAGGGGAAGTTTTCGTAATTTTGCCATCTCTCGAAGGTATCTGAAGAAAGTCTTTAAATTTGCTATCTGTCTCATTGACCTCTACAGGATTCTCCGCAGACTGTGACGGTGTTTTGTCTAAAATGTATTTGAGCAATATGCCAGAACTTGGCGCTGCCTTGTCTTTATCTCTCGCGAAGCCTATAAGGTCCATGAGCCATCGTTCTGCCTTCCATACTGTATTCAGATTATTCTGCAAGTCTTCTAGTTTTGTTAGTCTCTCTTTGGCTGTCTGGAGCTCTGTGCAAGAAAATGCTTCTCTATGTGAATGAGCAGCTAAAGCTACATCCAATTCTAGAACACAGCTGAGCTTTGAGTATTTGTGCAGAATGTTTGTGTGGTACGTTTGTAGGTGGATCATTTCAAAAGCTTGTATGGGTAAGCTGAGTAGATCACCTTTCTGTAAGAGAATTTCCTTCTGGCCTGGCACTGAGCAGGCCTGTTCCGCGGGCGGACATATCATGATAAAACTGACGTCGTTGTTTAGTTCGACTACTTCAAGGTCGTATATTCGGTGGGATATGACACTTTCTATTGGAATGTCCATCTCCTTGAAGAGTCTTCGTGCACCTGAGGCGATAAGATCAAGGAACATTTCTTGAGATTCTGAGGGTTTCTCCTGGCCAGTGATGGCGAGACTGTTGATCGTTTGTGGGTCCTCCGACTTGCCCGATTGGTTTTTCAGATATTCCCATTCTTCACTGCAATATAAGGGAGAAGAAGTTATTTATTGATATTAATTAATAGGAAATAGAACTATCTGGACTTGATGTGTGTGAAATACGTACGCCGACACATGTGGATTGTCTCGCACGCGCGTGTGTGGCGGCACGTTGGGAGTGCGCGCGGGGGCCACGATCCTCACCACCTCCACCGACGACTGCAGCTTCAGGTAGCCCAAGTACAACCCACGGGGCAGTTGTACACGAGATACCTGTAAATAGAACGATAAAGTTTAGATAAAAATATATTTTTTATTATTTCCGAAAACAAAATATTATGTATGTTCAAATCACAGATTATTTTCTGAATTCAACTTTATTTTTTATTCGTTAGGTTTTGCTCACCTGATGATAAGCGATCTGTTCATGAACAGAAGCCATGAGCAGTTCCCCAATTGTATTGTCCTCACTGAGCACTCTCCGCCGCAGCCTGGAGACGGCCGCCCAGCGCGAGTTGAGCGCGGACACTGACTTCACTGACTTCACGCTGTTCACACACGACAGGACGATTGTGCCGTGAGAATCGCGGAGAGGCTTGTGGTACAGCTGACCTGGAAGTTTTTAAGATTTGTATACTTAAGAATATAAGAATAACCAGTTTTCTAATCAACATAACTATTCCCGATTTTCCCTTAGTCTCACAAAGGTAATTGATAAGCTTTATGTATTGTCAGAATGAATTATGAAACTACACAGTAAATTGTTCCTTACCTAAGTCCTGTATGCACAATGCTGACTGCATCTGAGCGGCTGCAGTGAGGAGTTTCAGTCTGAAGTGTATGGAGGAAGATGTGTGCTTCTCCATGTCCGACCGCAGCGCCTTCACATCATCCCAAGAACATGATACCTGGGAGAATGAAGGAACTATATTAAGGTGGGATTTGCTGGATTGTAATATCATTTTTATTTAAGAAGAGAAACAAAGTAGAGTCTTTGTTCAGTGAAGAAGAATAAAAAGAAAAAGGATTAATGGACATTAAGTATGAAGAAACAGGTTGTCCACATACATCTTACATTTAAACAATGCTTTGAACATGAACGAAATAATTACCTTCATGAGCCAATGGAAGTCGGTGTAAATACAGGTAGGGTAGGTCTCATCCACTTCGATGACCGGGAGGAACTCTTCGCTGGTGACTAATACTTTATCCTCATGGTATAAGATGCAAGCAAGGTAGACCCCCCTGAAATATTACAATAAGATTGGTTAGAAACAGAACTATACCAGAGAAAATATGGTTGAGAGATGAGTAGATGAGACAATTTCTTTTGACAACTATCAGGATCGGGATAAAAGATAATTATTTAAATCTTTGTAATAATACCTTTGAAGGAGTTTTGGGAACAAAATACTGGTTTTGACGTTATTCATAAGACAATCCTAGAATCTACTAACGTACCTTCTGAGGTTCTTCTGGAACTTGCTAGCTGCAGTGAAGAGTTGTCGTATGGTAGCTGTCTTCTTTCGCGGCAGGCGTGCGTGCGGTGCTAAAGGTCTTGCGCGCGCGCTGGCAGCCGCCGCCGTCAGAGCTTCCAGAGCAGCGGCAGCACCGCCTGATCCACGACAACCACGTGCGCATACGTCACGCCAACCTGGTGGTAATGGATTTATTAGGACGTTTGCGAGACTACTAAATATTGTCTTCAAGATATCAATTGTAGTATAGAAATTAGAAAGGTACAGTATCCAAATGCACAATGTTTAGTATTTGCTGTTGCTTATATATTTTTTTTCTATAGGAAGTACATTGCAACTTAATCAAGAATATTTATTGAGAATTAAACTCACTACTAGGCACCACACTCCTAGGAACAGATACGGTGTAGGCGCCCCACCCCTTGATATTCCCTGCAGCAGCTCTGAAGAAGTACCGTCTGCCGCGAGTCAGGCCGGCAGCCAGAACTTTAGTACCACTGTTAGTGCCTGACGCGGCCACCTCACGGCAACCACATACGTTTGAGAAGTCCGCTCGAGATGACCATTCGACTGTTGGAGACGGGCAAATTAGAGACACACCTTTAGATAATATAAACAGTATATTGGCAAAACAACATAGTAAGCTTCCTAATTTTTTAGCATTAATTACCAAATTTTTCAATTTCAACTTTCAGTAGACGCAAGGTGAGTGAATTTTAGCTTATAGAGAAAGTTCTTTGATGTCAGTATAGACTATAGAAAATGTATTAATATTCTAATAAAAGGATATGGATCAACAATATAAGAATAACACTAGGAGCATCCAAGTCTTCTTGAATTTTGTTTTTACGAAATTATATTTTCCACTGACCTTTATACTTGGTAATGATGGGCTGGTCCTTGGCAATGGGCTGCATGGCTCGGGTGTCCTTCAGTCGCACGGTGACTGCATGAGCTCCGCATACTTCGAGCTCTGGTGCTGGTGGAGCTGGTGGTACGCGGGTTTGTTGCCAGCCTGCTACTAGACGCCTGGAGATAGTCATGGCGATTTATTAGGCGATGGTAGATAGCCAAACCCGTTGATGAATGATTAAAGACTGCTGGTTGAATGTAGCAGTTTTAGAGGATGTTGTTGGGTGGTTTCCTACCTGTATTTTCAGATAGGCACGACCATTAAGTATGATTCAAACATTGTAAGTGCAATGACTGGCTACTTAGAAGACGATATTGTTTTAGCACAAAATATTTATCGGAATCACTCAAATGGATACGCGAACAGAGACAAGATAATCGACTTTATCACCTTAAAAATCTAGTTTATTTATCACAAACATTTTGATAATGTTTATTTTTTATTTAATGTCCCATTGAGAATTCCGTACTTTAAGGGTCACCCTTCTACAAGAGAGAAACGTGCACTGGGCTCTAAGATAATTTTGCGTCTGGCCAATTGTGTTCACCTATCAATTATAATGCTTATGCTCATTCTGATTTGTCATTTATGTGTAAAAAAGACGTTACATCACACTATTGTCCTATATAATTTTCAATTTTCAAAAACAAGTGTCCCAAAACAACCCAAAAAACACATCTATCAATTATAATACGATAATTGAAAAGGGCATTGTCCATTTGGGCCATTATTTTAATCTTGTCAGTGTTTTTAACAGTACGGAGCCTTTATCATAGTCATATTCGGTTTAACCAGTTCTTATTTACAGTGAACATTTTCCAATCAAAAGTAAACACGATTCTTGGAAGTAGTGTGTCGTGATTGAGCAGATTGTTTCTATCAACCAGATAATGTAAGCGTAACATTACTTTCTTCAACTAGGTCCATGCCCGTTCGTATCGTGAGTGATGTAATCTCTATGATAATGTCAGTATCTTCTTTCTTATTAGAATCTGTTACAAGGTTCTTTATAGATTCCATTCTATTGTAGATAACAATGTAATTGTGTGTTTCTATAATTGCTTGGTTGCTGTGCGGTTTTGAAGTTTATGGAATATACGACAAGAAATTATCTTTATATTATAGTCAGTCGACAATATTTATTTTATGCTCATTTTGTACAGTCCACGGAGCACGGAGACTGGAAATGTGCCCGGTATATGGCAATCACTCCCTATTACATGGGACTCATAACATAAATAGTGAAAAGTGGGTGTTACATTGGACAGTGGCATTAAGTGCCATAGGCAATGTGCACCTCTGCCTACCGTTTCGGGGGTAAAAGGCGTGATGTTATGATATGTTATGTTTGTACAGTTAATTTCATTTCATCAGACTTTAAGGGTTCATACGCACTATGCGGGTAGCCGTCCGGCTGACCGCAAGCATAAGCGTATGAACCCGAAGATCTTGTATCGATAATTGACTTACTTGAGCGTCCTAACTCTCCTCTCCCAGTGTTGTGCTTGCTTGTCTTTCTCAGAGCCAGCACCACCAGCACATCCCGTCGTACCAGCTTGATTAGCAGCTGATGATCTGCAACAGTAAAATAATAATTGAAATCTATAGTAGTTATTGAAAAATTAAAGTGACTGGTTAAATGATTGAAAATATTGTGACTGTGGACGTTTAGGTTAGACAGATCCTCTATCTTTTTCAAAACTGTGCCTTTAGCCAAACGCCACTTTAGCGCTTGTCTGCAAAGAGAGTAGATAACTAAATGTATAGGGACGACAGTGAAAAGCGTCATAATATACGTCAATTCCATATAATTTGGTTTTTTCATTCTACATGTAGACAAGTGCTAAATGGCATTTGGCTACAGCTGCAGGGAGCAAATAGTTATTAGCAAGGAGCATAAGGAGTTAAAAAATATGTTTTTCAAAAACGTTTGGTCGTTTAAAAAACGTTGCTGTCTACCCATTTTAGAAAATTCTACAGAGAAGAACACAAGCCTCTATGTTGTCTCGTTAAGCTTGTTAATCCTTACATGAAGTTGATTAATATTCGCATACATAACATCTTGTTAGGTCGTCGCTTTGTGAAGTTTTCTCCCGCCTACGTTGACGGACGACATATTTTTAGTAACGTTTTGAATTCTAAAATAAAATAAAGAAGAGAAGAAATACCTAATATTTTGTTTGTACTGATTTATCGGAATGGAAATGTGAACTCATCAACGAATTTCATCAATATGATGGTATCGCAAAAAACAAATAAATCTAAGCACATGGGTCAAGATTCTCCTTCTCCAAGAAGGGGTTGAAGATTCAGCTGTTTAGGAAGGAACTAAAGGACCAAAAGAAGTAAGATATGGTTCAGTTTACCTGGTACAGGCATCTTCTCTGCAAGTCCTCTCCGGTGCACAGCCTGTCACCTCGTGTAGTTTAGACTCCGCCTCGCGCGCCAACCGCCGTAGATGTGTTCCCAATGAGTCTGAGTTCTTGACTGTAACAATATAAATTAAGATTAGAATATTAGTTCTTATGTAAAAAAATAATCATTCAATTTCTGGAGGAAAGCTTAAGATTATTTTTGAGGAAAGCTTTAGCAAAATCAGGGTTTAGGGAATGTTCCAACTAATCTCTTACAACGCGGAAACCTACTTAGATAGTAACTTAGTAAAATTAAATTAAAGTTTTTTCATAACCATAATAGTTTTTAAATATATGTGAATGTAAGCAGATACATATCTGCTTTCTATTCTATAAATATAGAAAGCTTTTGATACATGAAACTCCCGACCTCGAAAATATTGACATAACTGCCTCTAAAGTCTTATTCCAATTTACTAACACAATCATCAATCCCTGTATCCGAATATTTCGCTCAAACATTGCACGTAACGTTCCAATCGCAATAACAAAAGCGTCACGCATTCACCGATGGCTGATCGCACTGCAAAATGTATTTAGATCAATCAGTTGAATACCGACCAGCGACCAGCGATCAGCTAACTACGGTTAATCGTGGATTCAAGTCCCGTTTGCATGCTGGTCGCGTTCACTCATCACAAAACTGATTAATTTGCTGACGTACAGCTTAATTGATTGTCCACGGTTCGACGGCTAATTGGTTTCATGCTTTCGTTTACAATTTGATGGGAATTATTCGTATTTTCCTAAACCGAACCGTTTTGCATAAAGGATTAGGAACTTACACTGAAAAATATTGCCTGTAAGCTAGTCAGTACGCAAAAAATTGGAATTAGACTTATAATTCGCTCAATTACAATAGTCCAGACCAGAATCATTTTACTACAAATCCTAACTTTTAATGAATAACAGAGAAGCTCGTAAAAAAAATGAGTTTTAATTTCAAATCATATCCAGAAAGCGATCAGATTGCGTAATAAGACACGAGAAAATAATGATTTCATCAGAATTAGAGAATTACTCTGCCTTGCAAACCCAAGGCCAGGCAAAGCAGCTTAAAGGTAGGTTAGAGGTACTTTAGCATCTTCTATTACAGCCTTGTTTGTTTCAGAGTAAGTAAAGGCATTATAGGCATTATTATTCATGATCATGGCCTCCTTTATGGTTGCTTTTAAAAAAGTGGCGACCGTATTTTTGTAACGTGCGAAAATGAGATGTAAGATCAATGTTTATGTTGCAGCGGAGTGCTTTAAAGCGCTTTGACACATCGTGGGTAATAGTCTTCGTGCTGGAAAAATAAAAGTGACAATACACTTTTGTGTCTCGTCGTAATAATAAAACTTATTCGGCGTTTCCGTCGGAAACATTTCGAGTTCTCGACTTTTGAGAATATTAGGAAAAGTTACCGTAACTTTCTATTCTCTACGTAATAAAATTGATACAATATAAGTAGTGAAGTTCGAAGTCATATTATATTGTGTGGGAGTTCTATTTACGGTACGAACCTGCGGGATTTTAACGGTGAAACTTTTGTGAAACTCTTCAAACTTTTTAAAGACGTTCAAGAAATTTTATGTAAAAGCCATGGACGGTTTCGTTACTCTCATATTGTTTGTCGAATAAATAAATGTCTATTCTAATTAAAACGTAATTGTATCGTATTTTTTTATTTAAAACACAGTCACATTGCGGCAAGACAGGAAATGTATAATAATCCTTTATTAGAAGTATTACATCTATCATTTCAACTTATATACCTAAGCAACATTTAATATTGTATCTACCACTAATATGGAGAAAATTCCGCGGCAGTTTTTTGCGATATTTTTTGGCTGCGAACATGGCCGGAAAAACACATTTTTTCGTGTATACGTTCGATCGGGCGTTGAACCCAAGCCGTAAATATTTTTCTCTTAGCTTTATAGAGTCTACGCGGGCTTTTAAGTTATCAATCTTTTAGGAGTGACAGTATTCCTGATTAGGTATGTCTCTTTAGACCATGGACTATGCCATGTAAAAAAACTCTTAATACAAAATCTGTTCATAATAAATCGTGTACGTGTAGATACTAAAAGTCACCTAGTGATGAAACCTTAGTATGTTTTTTTTAGGGATAAAATCATCCAATGACTTCTCCTGCCTTGGGTTAGGCGTTGTCAGATTCTTACTGACTAAAAACCACCCCGTTCCTACTCCTGCACTTGGAGGCAGGGCCCCAGCAACCCGTTAGACCATCCGTGGTTTTTTTTACGTTTATAAAACAAACCTCGTTTCTGGCTTACAAAATACCTGGAAATTATTCATTCACCTTAGTAGAATATAATATAGAGGGTGAAGGCGTCGCAAAACCTCGCAAAGGTTGACTGTTTTACATTTTGACGGAATACATCGACGCTACACGCAATGTTTGGTCGACTAGAAGACCTGATGTATATGACCTACTTTGATAGTTATTCATAAGTTAGGAAACAGACTGTATTTACAGTATAAAATCATTATTTAGTTACTATTACCAAGCAAAATGTATTCTGTTTGGGTTCACAGTTTGTTCTTTAAACTATACTTAATAATTTTGAACTAACTTTTAACTTTTCGATAGCAACTGAGCAAAGTATCGTCTCAATATATTTATGCTTATTTTTCGTAAAAATAAAAAGGACTAAAATCTTCTAAGAGTTTAACACTTACTCATGAGCTGGAATCCTATAAAACATGAATCTGCTGCATACAATACTTGTAACCTATACAAAATGTTAGGAGGACAAGGCTTTCTGTTTCATAGGTAAGCCCCAATAGAGTTAGGTTCCTTACTTCGAAGCTTTAAAAGTAATCATTGAGCTAACCATCTCAGTTCAATAGTCGATATGTTAAGAAGTAAACAAATGTAAGCCAATATCAGTACCCGGTATTAATATTAAACGCGTATCAAATGCTAAAATGCTTAGAACTGTCTTTGTCTACAGTATTATTTTTCACTCTGAATAATCATGAAGATTATTCTATTCTCTTCTGATCTGTTTATCACTGAAAAAGATTTACTACGAATATTTGAGAAGCAAATCTCAATTCAAATAATATATTGATGATACACCACAAGTGTACGCTTCACGTCGTGCCGCGCCTTTGAAAGCAATATCGTGCAAAATACATTTTTGTTGGCGCGAATACATCTCGGTTCTCGATTCTGCCTCTCGGGTACTGGCTGGCAATTCTCCCAATTTTTGGCGCATCGAGTGCATAGCTCAAGGGGTTAACTAACAAGTTGTTTACTATCGCTGCCAATGAGAGGTTTTTGTTGGAATTATTTTTAATTGGTGATATTTTTTTGTTTGAGCGCTTTCCAGGCTTAGCATTGTTTTTGCAGAAATCTTACTTGAAGCAAGTTGTGTTATTCAGTTTAATTTTTGAAGTTTAATGCATTAAAGTAGTGTCTTTGGTATTCGTAGTACAGCGTTGACTTGGAAATAAATAAAACATCTCCCCCGCTGATTTATGTCACTGTTTCCTAAAGAAACCGAACAAAGTCGTGCAACTTTGGGCTTATAAAGCTTACAGGATATGTTCCGATCACCGGTCTTAAAGTTACCCGGGTCAGTTGCTTGCTTCACACATAGATCGATAAACTTCGGGTATTCCTCGGCTGTCCTCGGATCTGAAAGTTTCGCCGGCGGCCATTGAGATCCCCTCTATTTGTTTTACTTTTTGTTCTTTTTCCATTTCCTATCACTCGTTCGTAAAAAGTCGTATTGACTTATGAGGGTTCTAGCGATTTGTCGTTTGCTATAAATACGCATTATGTATGCTACGTACTGGTATAGCTGGACTGAAGGAAACGACAGCCGGATGAATAGTTGCATATATTTCTCTGGTTTTTATTTACTGGTACGTTGGACTATTAAATACTCTAAGACCAGTGCTGATCGGCGTAGTTAATGCAACTCATTTCAAGAAGTTCAATTAAAGAATATACTTTTTTAGAACTGTCAGTTCGATACTAGTCTAAGACAAAGTTTAAATATCTATTAGACACTTCCCTTTACGTAATATAATCATCAACGACTTAAAAGTTACAGACATCAGCCACAGATAAGCAATTCGTTTAGGTATGATATCAAAATACAAACATACATACATTTGAATAGAAATAAGATAATTCTAGAAAAACAAATCACGCCCACTGAGTGGAAACGATGAACGGTAGATATCGTATGAAAGTAATAGAGTAATCAGGTATAGATAGGGGCAGATAGTAACCGTTGCATACTACCGACAAAGAATAATCGGAAAATATTTTGTTTGTTGCCCCGATTCGCATTAAATCTGTCTGCCTTTATCTAATTAGATAAATAGATAATCGTGAAAGCGTTTGTAGTAATTGGGCTCAATTTCACCGAACTTTCTTGTTTTGGAGGTGATAATATCGTCCCCGTAGAGCGAAAATTAACTAAGTCCAAAAATTACCAAAATGAGTTATCACTATCATTAAAATGAACTTTTATTTCTCTATAAATCAGTCTAACCGGTATTTATGTAGCTGTCGTCGTTTTTGTTTCACGGAATGTGAAAAATAAATAAGCATATGTTTTGGATTCCACATCATAATTGGAGAAATAACTAACTTAATTAATTAATTATACATTTACGAAAAAATTGCATAACTTAAAATTAAGTCCACTTAATTATTTTCCTATTCAATTGTGAATGCATCCACTTGTCAATAGTTAAATTAAAAATCACTACAATGATTTGGTTAATATTTGAAATCAATAGTTTGCTAAAACGCACGAAAACGAAAATTAACTAACTCGACGTAGTGAATATTGACTCTTGGTTTTTAAATTATTTGTACTGTACTGTAAAAATGAAAAATCACTAACCCATTTTAATCTTTTTTTCTCTTTTAAAAGGGAAACGTAAGACCTATAGTGAACAAAAATAAAACCTTTAAATTTTAATTTTTGTTCACTATAGGTCTTACGTTTCCCTTTTAAAAGAGAAAAAAAGATTAAAATGGGTTAGTGATTTTTCATTTTTACAGTACAGTACAAATAATTTAAAAACCAAGAGTCAATA